GCCTACAGGATAATCACTATTCTGTCTGGCGTCAGTTTGGTATCAGAGCTTCAACATCTTCTTGGGAAATTTCACCAGTTTCAATGGCTGGAGGTCGTGGTCGGGTCGTCGTGAGCAGGTTCCGAATGAGGAAGCCCAACGCCGTGATCGCAGCGTTCAGGATGTGATGATTGCGGATTTGCAGAGGCAAGTCGCAGAATTAACCCAGCGCCTAGCGGCGCAGGATTTAGAGGATCGTGAGGCCTCTGATCACGATACAAATTCCACTTTCGAAACCATATCACAATCGCGCAGGATTCCGGGGCGCAGGATTCCGGAGCACCGTGGTCGGGAGGAGCGTCATGGAGACCTCGGTTTTCGGGTCGATCTCCCTGAGTTTTTCTGGTACATTACAGGCCGAGGGATTCGTGGATTGGATTAATGAAGTGGAGCGTATTTTTGAATATAAGGAAGTCCCCGATCGTGTGAAAGTGAAACTGATCGCCATCAAACTCAAGGCAGAGCATCTGCGTGGTGGGAACAGTTACGACGTTCACGAGAAAGACAGGGCAAAGCCAAGATCACTGATTGGGAGAGAGAAAAAAGAGAAGTGGCCACTTCCTTCCCTTCGGCTACACGCAAACCTTATTTCAGCGACTTCATGCGTTGAGGCAGGCGCGCGATCAGTCGATGATTACACGGAGGAGTTTTACCAATTGGTCGCCCGGACGATTTATCTGAGACGGAGGAGCGATGGGGGCGCGATATTTGGGGGGTTTACGCCAGCCCTTGCAAGATGTCCTCAGCCTTCATTCATTGTGGAGTGTTTCGGAAGCATACCAGCGTGCACTTGCTGTTGAAAAACAGCAAAACAGGAGACCAGTGATCAGGAGCGATCACAACAGTCGACCAGTTCGCCCTCAAGAGTCCCGTCCTGCTCAGCAGCCACCGCAGGGTAATTCTAACCCTACTATTAGATGTTTCGTTGTGGTGAACAAGGGCATAGGGCGACTGATTGCAGGAAGCCTGCTAGTCAAAGGGCAAAATTTGTGTTGAGGAAAACGTGGAAGACGAGAATGAGGAGATTGGCGAACCCGTGTATGACGATGATGAGACTGATGATGTGCTGTATGGAGATGGTCATGAGACTCTGGTCGTTCGCAAGAGTCTACTTACCCCAAGGGCGATTCAGGGGATTGGTTGAGAACCAATATTTTCCACACGACTTGCACAGTTGCAGATAAAGTCTGCAAAATGATCATTGACAGCGGCAGTTGTGAGAATGTAGTGTCCGAGGAGGTTGTCCAGAAATTGCAGTTGAAGACGGACCGTCATCCTAAGCCATACAAGTTTGTCATGGCTAAATAAAGACAGTGAGGTAACAGTTGATAGGCGATGCCTGGTGTCTTTTTCAATTGGTAGAAAATATTTTGATAATGCCTGGTGTGATGTTGTGTCTATGGATGCGTGTCATATATTGTTGGGTCGACCTTGGCAGTATGATCGCAGTGTCATTCATGATGGACGGAAGAAACTATTCCCTTAGCATCAAGGGAAAAAAGTTGTGTTGGCACCCCGGCGGGAAGGACTTACTCCTACCCCCAGTAACCCATAATACTAATCTCTTTCTATGTCCAGGTTTTTAGATGAGATTGAGCATGGCGACGTGGTCTATGCTTGCTACCTTGCGAGAACAATGCAGTAGACGTGGATACAGATTTACCAGTAGAGGTGCAGCGGTTGCTAGCAGAATTCTCTAACTTGATGCCAGAGGATCTTCCTCCTGGACTACACCTATGAGGGATATTCAGCATCAATTGACCTTGTTCCTGGGTCAAGTTTGCCAAATCGACCAGCATATCGCCTCAGTCCCAAGGAGGCGAAGAGTTGCAGCGACAGGTGGAAGAGTTGTTGGAGAGGGGCTATATCCGAGAGAGTATGAGCCCATGTGCAGTCCCTGCTCTGTTAGTGCCAAAAAAAGATGGTCTTGGCGTATGTGTGTTGACAGCCGAGCGATCAACAGAATTACAGTGAAGTACCGGTTTCCAATTCCCCGTCTAGATGATATGTTGGATCAGCTATCTGGTTCTAAGATCTTCTCAAAAATTGACCTTAAGAGCGGCTACCACCAAATCAGAATAAGGCCTGGAGATGAGTGGAAGACGGCGTTTAAAACGCCACAAGGGTTGTATGAGTGGATGGGTCATGCCTTTTGGGTTATCCAATGCGCCCAGTACATTCATTTTATGCATCAGGTCTTGCGGCCTTTTATGGGGAAATTTGTTGTAGTTTACTTCGATGATATCCTCGTTTATAGTCCGACATGGACTTCACTTCGATCACCTCCGTGCTGTTTTGAGATGCTGAAAACGGAGTGCTTGTTTGTCAATCAAAAGAAGTGTTCTTTCTTCACTACTTCTGTGACTTTTCTTGGTTTTGTTGTGTCTACTGATGGTGTTCATGCAGATCAGTCAAAATAGATGCAGTCTTGGAGTGGCCCAGACCAAGAACATTACATGACATCCGAAGTTTCCATGGCTTGGCGTCTTTTTACCGTCGATTCATTAGAAATTTCAGTACTCTGATCGCCCCTATCACAGAGTGCCTCAAGGGGCGTGATTTCCAGTGGTCTGAGGAGGCAGAGGCCAGTTTTCAACTGGTCAAGCAGAAGATGACCGAGGCTCCAGTTTTGGCACTTCCAGATTTTGACAAAGTGTTCGAGGTAAATTGTGATGCATCTGGCGTTGGCATTGTGGTGTGTCTGAGTCAGGCAGGTCGTCCGGTTGCTTTTTCAGTGAGAAGCTATCGGGATCAAAGAAAAATTATTCCACTTATGATCTGGAGTTCTATGCCATAGTTCAGTCCCTGAAGCATTGGCGTACTACCTAGTACAGAAGGAGTTTATTCTGTTTACCGATCATGAGGCCTTGAAGTACATCAATGGCCAACACAAGCTGAGTAGACGTCATGCCAAGTGGGTAGCATACTTGCAAGATTCACTTTTACGCTGAGGCACCAAGCAGGGAGTTTGAACCGCGTCGCAGATGCCCTGAGCCGTCGTACCTTACTTCTCACCACCATGAGTACTAAGTTGCAGGATTTGAGACGTTCACAGATATGTATGCAGCTGATCCTTCCTTTGGAAGGATATTTCAGGAGGTAACTGAGGGTCACCGTCATGATTTTGTTTTGCATAATGGGTATCTGTTTCGTGGATTACAATTGTGCATTCCAGATTGTTCATTGAGGCAGCAAATTATAAGTGAACTCCATAATGAGGGACACTTTGGCCGAGATAACATGGCCCTTATCTCTTCTGAATTTTATTGGCCCAAGTTGACTAGTGATGTGGCCCATTATGTGGACCGTTGTTATGTGTGCCAGCGATCTAAGGGAGTTCTCACCAATGCGGGATTGTACACTCCCTTACCTGTTCCTGAAGCTCCTTGGTTCGATGTCAGCATGGATTTTGTACTAGGCTTACCCCGCACCCAAAGGGCCTCTGATTCTATCTTTGTTGTGGTTGACAGGTTTTCCAAGATGGCTCATTTTGTAGCTTGCAGAAAGACTATGGATGCTGACCGGATTGCCCATCTCTATTTCAAGGAGATTGTGCGTTTACATGGTGTTCCTCGATCCATCACTTCAGATCGTGATACTAAGTTCATCAGTCATTTCTGGAAGAGCCTGTGGGGGAAACTGGGAACGCAGTTGAATTTCAGTAGCGCCTACCACCCCCAGACGGATGGCCAGACTGAGGTGGTGAACCGAAGTTTGGGAAACCTTTTAAGGTGTTTGGCAGGAACGAAGCCGAAGCAGTGGGATTTGGCATTGCCTCAGGCAGAATTTGCCTACAACAGATCAAAAAACAGAACCACAGGTTTAAGCCCATTTGAGATTGTCTATGGTCAGAACCCATCCGGGGTGTTGGACTTAGCCCCTATTTCCACGTATAGGACGTTTCAGTCCTAAAGCAGATGAGATGGCAAAGTATCTTCGGGGTATCCATGAGCAGGTGAAACAGACCATTCATGAGAGCAATACCAAGTACAAGACTCGGGTCGACAATCATCGTCGTCAGGTACTTTTGATGTTGGTGATTTTGTTTGGGCGTATTAACTCGTGATCGTTTTCCTGTGGTGAGTATATAAGCTTAAGGATCGGAAGATTGGACCTTGTGAGGTCGTGCAGAAGATCAATGATAATGCTTACAGGTTGCGACTTCCCAGTCACTTGAAGACTTCTGATGTCTTTAATGTGAAGCACCTGAGTCATTGTTTTGTGGATCCTGATGACACTACTCTGAACTCGAGGACGAGTTCTTTCCAACCGGGGCGACTGATGCAGGGGGATCTGAGACAGATGATGCTGAGCTGTCAGATTGCACGTTGATGGCGCTGAGATACCATGAGTTGGCAGATCAGCGCAAAGGCGGGAATTGATTGTGACATGTTCCTTATTGGGGTCGTTTTGAGTATGTTTCAGTCTTTTGGCCATAACTTTGGCTACAGGTGTCAGAATCGCGCATAAGACCCCAATCCGGAAAGCTCTTTTCGACGCGCACGCTCCACATTGAGCTACGCTCCATGTGGCCTTTTTTTCAACCTCAAATTCTGCCGTTTTCCCTCCGATCACTAGATTTAGTTATTTTTTACTATTTATGGTAATATTTCGATTGTTAATTAGGAAGTCAATTTAAATCCGATTTAGACCGGATTTTTTGGGAGATTGCTTATTTTATTTCGAATTTCAATTTAGAGTGATTTTCGGGATTTTGCTATTTTTGGCAAAATTCGAATAAATACGATTTTTGCTATTTTTGGCAAAATTCGAATAAAGACGATTTTTTTAGCTATAACAGTCCGGCTTGTGGACTGCTTTTGACAGTTATTGATTTTTAATATTTTATTAAACCCTAGAGACTTTTTTTCTCTGGTTTTTGGGCGAATTTTCTCTTGTGAATCGTCTGTCGGAGCTAGCCTACAGGATAATCACTATTCTGTCTGGCGTCACCTTCCACATTGATCTCTCTTTTATATTTACATATATACCACCATTTCATTTCCCTAACTCCCCATCCTCCTCAACATTAGTTTCTTTCATAGCTTGTAAAAATCTCGAGCTTGCTTCAATGGCTGATGCAGGTGGTTTAGTCTCCGCTAAGAGGATGTGGTGCTCGGTCCCTGAAAGGCTCCAGCTGGATATGGCCATGTTGACCTTGCAGTTTGGTTATGCAGGGTTTCATGTGGTTTCTCGAGCTGCCCTTAACATGGGCGTCAGCAAACTCGTCTTCCCAGTTTACAGGAACATCATGCTTTCCTTCTGCTCCTTCCGTTTGCATATTTTCTTGAGAAGTATCATATAATACAATAATTGTCTCATTAATGAATTTTCTTTTCTGTAAGTTACTAAAACCCTGACATGTTTTCACAATTTCTTCTTTATCCAGGAAGGATCGACCAGGCATTACTCTAAATTTTCTTTTACAGTTCTTCCTCGCTCTTGTTGGGTACGCATGATATCCTCTACAATCTAACATGGTTAGTGTGATAAACCAAAACTATCTGATTCTATTGCCTTTTACGTGACAGAATAACAGCAAATCAAGGTTTCTATTGCTTGGCTTAGATAACACGTCACCGACCTTCGCATCTGCCATCCAAAACTCTGTGCCAGCCATTACCTTTCTAATGGCCGCCCTATTTGGTATGCCCACAAATTCCCATATTACATACATAAGATGAACTGATGAAGTGTAGTATTGATGGTTTTCCATTTGTTTTGTATTTTCAGGATAGAGAAAGTGAGGCTAAATCGAAGAGATGGGGTATCGAAGTTATAGGAACTGCCTTGTTGTGGCTAGAGCATCAGTGATAACACTATACCAAGGTCCAACCATATACAGCCCAACTCCACCGCTCAATAGACCCACATCCATGTTTGTTTCATTGGGAGATGCAAAGGGAAGAACTGGATTCTTGGTTGTTTGTATCTGATTGGCCATTGCTTGTCGTGGTCCGGTTGGCTGGGGCTGCAAGCACCGGTGCTGAAGAAGTACCCTGCTAGACTCTCGGTGACATCCTATACATGTGGTCAATCCATTCGCAGAATTTTCTTCCTTGATCGGCTTACATGAAGCAAATTAGTTCCTTCATACTAATTCCAGAAACTAACATGAACATATTAACATTTTAGGTAACCAGTTGATCTAAAAGACTTCTCTCGGCACATGGGGAGAGAATTTTCTTTTTTCTTTTTGCTTTTCCAGACTGAATCCTTGTGCATATTATTTTAATGTAAATCCATGTCAAAAGCAATGTTCTAATGGGTTTGATATAGCTTTCTAAGACTAACGTAAAATAGTTTCGTCGTAGTAGTTTTCAAGCTGCAGTACATGCATTAGAGAAAAAGTGAGTTACGCAAGTGTTACAATTACCTAAATATTGCGGAAGACGGCTATCGGATAGAGTAAAATCACAACTAATAATTTGAGAAATAAAAATGAAGATAAAGAAGACACAAATTTTACGTGGAAACCGCTAAATAATATAGGGTAAAAACCACGGGCAAAGGTAGAAGAATTTTACTATAAGAAAATAAGAATTACAACTTCTCTCGATCTACCAAGGAGGAAACAATAACAATTCTCTCTTGATAAAAAGGAGAAAACAGCTCTCAAGAAACCCTCTAAATTATCTAGTATTGGGAGAAAGCTAGAATGATTTTGGATGGTTTTGAAGCTAAATGGGTTAGGGCATTTATAGTTGAAGCTTAAGAATTAATCTTATAAATACCCTAAAGTATAATGACTAAATTGTGATTTTACCATTGTCCAAATTCAACTAAAAAACCAAGCTAACTTTCGGTGCATTAATTTTGTTTGACTATTGATGCCAACTTGCTCGGCACTTTCGGTGATTGCATGCATTTTCAACAATCTTCCACTTAAGATTTGATTGGAACAATCATATCTTCACAACATTCTTTCTACCCTGTACCTTCATGTTGCTTACGTCTCTGACAGGCCAAAGGAGGATCGATACCAGGTAAATTTATCAGCGTTGATCGCATTCGTCATGAAATCTGTTATGTTGTCTTTGGTATGGATCTTCTGCATATCTACTGTCCCTTCTTCCACCTTTTCACGAATAAAATGGTACTGAACTCTTATGTGCTTTGTCCTTGAATGAAATGTTGGATTCCTTGCTAGATGCAATGTACTTTGACTGTCACAAAACAGAGAGACATACTCTTGATTGTGCCCAAGCTCCTTCAATAGCATCTTCAACCAAATTGCTTCTTTACCGGCTTGTGTAGCTGTTACATATTCTGCCTCTGTTGTTGACGTAGCCACAACTGACTGCGATTTTGAAACTCAACTTACAGCTTCACCAGCAATTTTGAACACATATCATGTAGTAGATTTGTTTTTATCCAAATCCCATGTATAGTTAGAATCTACATACCCATTGATTAGTAAGTTTGTCCTTCGTAATATAATGCAACATTTGAGGTCCATTTGATGTATCTCAGGATCCTCTTTACTGTATTTCAATGCTCTTTGCCTAGATTCGCCATGTACCGACTAACCACTCCCACTGCTTGTGCAATGTCTGGTCTTGTGCATATCATAGCGAACATTAAACTTCCCACTAGTGATGCATACGGTACTCGAGACATCTTTATCCTCTCTTCTTCACTACTAGGACTCATACTGGAGGATAATTTGAAGTTAATAGGAATAGGGGTAGAAATTGGCTTACAATCTTGCACGTTGAATCTTGATAAGATCTTCTTCAAGTAATTCTTTTGTGAAAGCCAAATCTTCCTATTACTTCTGTCTCGGTGAATTTACATCCCTAAAATCTTGTTTTCTGATCCCAAGTCCTTCATTTCAAATTCCCTATCCAGTTGTGCCTTCAATTCTTCAATATAATCTTTGTTGGGTCATGCAACCAACATGTCATCCACATACAACAACAATATAACAAAACCGTTATCACCAGGCCTCTTGAAATAAGCACAAGGATCTGCATTAAGTCTGTTGTATCCAAGGTACATAATGAAGGAATCAAATCTCTTATAGCAATACCTTGGCGCCTACTTTAGACCGTACAGAGATTTGTTCAACCTGCAAACCAAGTTCTTCTTTTCGTCTTCTTCAAAACCTTTAGGCTGGAGCATGTAAATCTCTTTTCAAGATTCCATTAAGAAAAGTTGTTTTAATATCTAGCTGCTCTAGATGTAAGTTCAATGTAGCACACATTGTCAAAACTACTCGAACTGTTGTTAGTCAAACCACATGAGAAAAGATTTCATTAAAATCAATACCTTCCTTTTGAGCATATCCTTTGACCACCAGTCTTGTACGATACCTCTCAACTTGATCGTCACCATTTCTCTTGATTTTGAAAACCCATTTGTTACCAATTGGCTTCTTTCCTTGTGGTAGTGGTACAAGGTCCCATGTATTATTTTTATGAAGGGCTTCAATTTCTTCTTGCATCGCCATCATCCACAGTGAAGCATCTGAGTTGTTTATTGCCTCCTGGTATGTTGATGGCTCACCGTCCTTTGTTAAAAGGCAGTATGTAATATTTTCTTCTATAACATAATCTGAGTGCCAATTGGGACGTCTTCTCACACATCTGATTGACGAGTTGTTAGAGCTTCAGAACTCTCTGGTTCTTGTTCATCATGTGTTGGTTCTGCTTCAGAAGAATCTCTATGTTCAACCTCTTTTTCCACATGTATCTGTGTAGTCTGAATTTTCAGCGTTATCATCGTATTCTTTTCTTTGTAGCTTATCTTCTACAAAGATAACATCCCTGTTGATGATCACTTTGCGGGCAGTGGGATCCCAGAAGCGATATCCCTTGACTCCATCAACATACCCCAAGAATTTGTATTTCCTGGATTTTGGATCCAGCTTTGAGATTTCTTGGGAGTTGTACATCACGTACACAATACTTCCAAATACATGGAGGTTTGAATAATCAACTGGTTTACCAGTCCACATCTTCATTGGTGTCTTCAGCTCTATTGCAGTTGATGGAGCTCGATTCACCAAATAACAGGCGGTATTGACTGCTTCTGCCCAGAATGATTTTTCTAGGTCTGCATCCCTCAACATTGCTCTTGTTTTTTCTAACAAGGTTCTTTTCATCCGCTCTGCCACTCTATTTTGTTGAGGAGTGTTCGCTACTATGAACTATCTTTTGATGCCTTCTTTCCTGCAAAAGTCATCAAATTCTTCACTTGTGCATTCTCCTCCATTATCTGTTCTGAAACACTTGATCTTATTTCCAGAATCAAGTTCCACCCGCGCTTTGAAGTTTTTTGAAAGTTAAAAACATATCTAACTTCTTTTTAATAGGGTACACCCAACATCTCCTGGAGTAGTCATTAATAAATGGGACAAAGTATTTTACTCTGCTTAGGGATGTAACTGGTGCTTGCCATACATCAGAGTGAACCAATTCTATAAACTTTTGACTCTAGAATTTTACGTGTTAAATTTCAACCGATGTTGCTTACTTATTATGCAATGCTCACATAAAGTAAGTGATACCTTTGTTAAGCCTGGAAGTAGCTTTTGCTCCATAAGAACTTTTATTCCTTGTTCTAACATGTGTCCAAGTTTATGATGCCATAGCATTGTAGAATCTGAACTACATGAGGCAACAGAGGCTTCTGCTTCTAGCAAAGTCTCTCCCTTCAGCATGTACAAGTTTGTTGCTATCTTTTCGCCTTTCATCACCACAAGCACTCCACGGAACACCTTCATGATTCATTTTTGTGTTTCAATCTTGCTTGTATTATTATCCAACAATCCGTAGGATAATAAATATTTCTTCAGGCCTTTCATGTGTCGCACATCTCGAACAACTTTAATTGTTCCATCATACATCTCAATATGATGGTTCCCACGCCATTGATCTCTAAGGCATGATCATTGCAACTATACACAAATCCTCCTAAGACAGGTTCATACTGATGGAACCATTCTCTTCTTGAGGTCATGTGATATGTTGCTCCCAAATCAATGAGTCATATATATGCAAATCTTTTTCTGCCTTACAAGGTGGTTGACGCTTCACAGCATAGAGCATCTCTATCATTGAAGTGTTTGCGGTATTGCCTTGTGGATTGGAGTTTTTATTTAGACTCCAACAATCATTCTTCAAGTGACCCTTATTTCCACAATTGTAACACTTTAAATTCTTCTTGTTCCTCGACTTTGATCTACCATGTTTGTGACTGTTGCTTTGGCCACGTTCTATTAATCTCCCTCTCATCGTTGTCAACGCTTCTACTTGTTGCAGATTTACTTGTCTGTCTTCCTTGTTCTTGCGCCGATTTTCTTCTTGTAGAAAAGTAGCTACAACGTCATCAAAGACTAGACTGGTGACATTACTGTTTTCAAGTTGATGATGAGTTGATCATACGAATCCGGTAGACTTTGAAGCAGAAGTTCAACACATTCTTGTTCTCCTATTTTACAGCTTAAGGATGAAAGCTGAGAAAATAAAGTGATCAGTGTATTTAAGTGCTCTGTCACTGAAGTAGATTCTGGCATACGGAGAGTGTACAATTTTCTCTTAAGGAAAATTTTATTGTGCAACGATGTGGCCTCGTACAGTTTGGTAAGATGATCTCATATCTCCTTAGTTGTCTTCTTCTCCTCGATGCTTGACAAT